ACCATTCATCACACAATTAACACCTTGTACACACAAACATGCTAATCATACAGTCACCTTCATGATTACTTAGCATTCCCTTTGTTCCATATCCTAATTAAACCAATGACACTCACTTGCAAACAAAAGCCATAACTGTTACCCGATTAATCAGAGAATCCAGCTTACTAACGAGATTGAAATTGATGGAATCGATCCGTAACGACAATTCAGAATTAAAACAACTACCAATCTAAGCAAGAGTATAGGATAAATCCGCAACCAATTCTGACCTGAATGCCATAAGTCTAACAGTTTCAAACCAATATACAACGACAGAATTTACTTTGCAAAAAAGAAACAAAACTGAAAGAAGCTACAGCTGAAACACAAAGGAAAGAACATATGCTTTAAACTTCTTTCTTTCATTTTTATTGCTTCCAATCTACATTCTCAAACAGTAGAGCTTTAAGTGTGTACCTGAAATTGAGGGAACAAGTAAAATAGGACAGGGTCAGCAGTAATTAATCAGCAGAGATCAACAACAGCAAACTGTAGAGCCCAGCAATCAGAAATTGAACCACCAGAATAGTTTAAACCCAGTAGATGAAGTACAATGACCCAAACACTAATTTCAGTCACTCAATGAACCAGCAAACTTCAATCCAGATTTGAATTTAACTCATTTTAGTATCAAATAACCAGAGATTGCTTCAATGCCAGAAAAGCTTTAGAAAAATCCCAAAAGAACTCAATGAAACAGTGTTGTTTTTCTTAAAATTCTTCAGCCGCCTTTTATTTTTCTGGTTTCTATCTCCTTCTCTATGAAACAGTAAATTTTGTGCAGTTTTTTTTATATTTTCTGGATTTTCAGCTTTTTAAGATCTCTCTGATTTTCAGAATGTTCAAGACTGCCTTTCAAGGCAAGAAAGCATGCCTTTATAGGCAAGGCAAATAGGGCAGCCTTAGGTTTCATTTTTACACCCTACTCCCTTTTAATTTTCGTTTTTTGCTTAAGTGACCCCCTAATTATTGACTTGCTACCCAAGTTTTATAACTACACCTCTGAAATTTCACTCAAGCCCCTCACTAGAAGCTTCCCAGGCAGTTGCAAAAGATTCCCTGACCTAGAATTCCTAGACTACCCTCCCAGCACCATGTTATTACTCCTCAAAACCATAATGGGTCAAAGGACCCAATCGCCTAAGCCCCAAATTGAACTGGGCTATATTTTATCAAATGGGTCGACAATGATCTGAAACCCAAGCAATGAACTATCCAACTAAATTCTATAAGCATCAGGAAGAACAGGAAAACACAAATACTGAAACGATTTCCACACTCAAAACCTAAACTAAGTTACCGACTAATTAACACAAATATGCAGAGAATTAACCAAGTTATTAAATCAAAACGACCTAATTAAATCAAACTAATCGTCCAAACAAAGGATGAAATCAAAAATTCTAATCAATCTCATTACCCAAACTTAGCGGACCAAAAACAAATCAGAGAACCGGATTTGGGGAAAATAAAACTAACGAGGGACATAAGAACATAACTTATTCTCCACCAGAAAACCAGTCGAGTCTCAGTTGAATCGGCCAGAGAAAAAGAAAGAGAGATGAGGAGGAATGAAAATTGAACTAACACTCAACATGAACCAAGAAAGAAAGAAAAACTTACCGATTTAAGTTCAAAATCATCAGTCACATATGCTTAAACCCCAAAATAGTGCAACTCGCCTACTCTTCGACGAGAATTCATGAGTAGCATCATTTGGAGGTCAATCAGACCCTGGAAACTTAGAGAACTTCGGAGGGATGAACTTGCATGGCTGCAAAGATCTTTGACCTTTGGGTTTGAAACCCTAAATTTAAGATTCGAAGGGTTTGGGAGGTATTCGAAGGAAACAGGGTGGGGATCTAGGATGGGGAGGTGGAGATGGATGTGTGGTGTAAATTTGGTGGCCTTTGGACGATCGCCGCCGCCGTGGGGCGATTTTCGGCGGCGGCATGCGGCGCATCCAATGGAGGTCGTCTCTAGGGTTCGCTGGTGAGAGATGGGGGGTAGGGGGGATGTCGTTCGGACATTTATATACTAAAACCAACCCACTTCCAGGGCCGTTTGATCACACATTCAACGGCCCAGATTGCCCGTTAGTGAAACGGGGCTGTTTGGTCGGTGGGGAAATCGGACCGGATCGGGTAAGGGGTGAAAATGGGCCGGTTTGGGCGGATTTTGGGTTAGGAAGGCATTGGGCTTGGGGGTTTTGAGTTATAATGGCCCAAAATTCTGATTCTCTTTGTTTTGTCTTTTGTTTTCTCTTTTTTTTTCAAAATTAAACTAAAATCTTAATTAATTCCTAACACCTAATTATCCTAAAATAATAATTAAACCTAGATGATAATTACCACCACTAACAAATTAAAAAGGAAAACTACTAAAATCAAAAATTAACTCCAAAATTGCAAATTAAACTATTTTGTGATTTTTCCTTTTTTATATAAAATACTTAATTACTAGTTAATTCTTAAAAATGCAAAGTCAAACCCTAAATGCAAATGCAACATATTTTTTGTATTTTTTCCTAATAAAAATGCACAAACGAATGCAAACATTTAACAGAAAATGTCACCAAAATCTACAAAATTGCAAACACTGAAAATAATTATTTTGTTTTGAATTTCTAGGAGTGATTCATATAGGCCGAAAATCACGTGCTCACAGGGCCAGCCCTCGATTTTTCTCTGGCGGGACGGGCTTGTCCTGTTGTGATGCTGTTGTTGTTGTTTTTGTTGTTGTTGGCTTGGTATGGCGACGTAGGAGGTCGGTGTCCTCTGACCTGGAGAAAAATTCGGATTATCCACCGCTGCTCAAGAGGGGGCTTGGATTATACACCGCTGCTCACCCTCCTTCCTCGGCCCGGCGTATTACACCCCCTTTGGATTTCGGGGGGGTGTGGTGATGGGCTCAACTCGGCCGTTGCCTTCCGGGCCGAGGCGACATCTCGAGAAGTCGCTTCGGGGGAAGCATGCTGGCGGAGTCCGTGCTAGCCGAATTTTTCGCCCAGCCATTTCTCGCCTTCTTCTGGTATCCCATCATCATTTTGCTCTTCTCCCGGCTTCCTTTTGAAGATGCCATTTCGGGAAGATAGGGATGAGATCCCTGTGGGGGCCGAACTTGGAAGATTTTGTCTTTGAGGTCGTGTGACTGGAAGGATGACTTCGGAGGCGCTATACGTAGGATGCTCCCCTTGGACTTGTATGCTACCTGTATTTTCTCCCTTTTTTCTTTTTTGTAAAAAAAGCTTTTGTAATCGTGTAAGATGCAATTGTATATGAGGATTTATATGAGTATAAATATGTTTTTTCCTAGCTTCTGCTTTTAATACTTGCCTTTTTCTGATATATTCTTATGCCTTTTGAAGGCCTTGGTTTGTTGTCAAATGCTGACGAAGCGTTTTCCTGAACCCTGTGTTGGTCGGTGTGGCTTTCTCTAAGCCCGATAATCAAGCTTCCGACCGAGCTTAAGCCGACCCGATATATTCAGGCCGTCAACTCCCTCATATTACGTGGAGATAATCGACGATATCTTTGGTTCCTTGGGAGAGGCATTGAGAGGTGATTATATCCTTAGGCACGGGAGTGTCCCTTCTGGACCATAGATAGTTTTCCGGAACGTATGTGTTCGAATTTACTTCGGAGAGTCGCCCATGCGGGGGCGTCACTTTGATTTCGCTTGGAGCTTTTGACAAATGTGAAATAGCCTTGTTTCTTCGTCGCTAGACACGGGTTCTTTTTGGTCCCTTTGTTGTTTTTCGGGACGACTCTGGGTCGGTCTGATAGATTGATGCTATAAGAGTCTCCTAAGTTATGCTGAGTTTCGAGGCCTCTGGGGGTAATGCCCCAAATGTAGGTCATCTTTGGGTACATCGGTGAGCCCTGTTGATTTTGATGTGGGTAACTCTTTCAGAGAGTGTAAGGTCGGCTTCTAGCGTCTACTCCTACGGGGTGGGAGTCACGAACCCGGGCGCATGCCTTTGTCCGGCGTTGGTGCTTTGGAGCTCATCGGGGCCCCGTTCCTTGGGGAAGGCGCGTATTGGACTTCGGGCGAGTTATCCCCTCTAGCGTTGGCCGCTGGCGTTGGCGTTGCTCCTCGAAACCCTCTGTTACTTGTTTAGGGGTATACGGAGATGTCCTGCAGGGGTGTATCTCGTGTTTTCCTTCTTGTACCTGAAGCTTCTTTTCGTAGGCTTGCGGTGGCCTTAGATCCGGGCTGGTTTATTTTTTTTAGGACCCGAGCATTGGATAATTTCGGGCCTGATCTGCAAAAATTCTTAAGGGTGATGCTGTTTGTGCCGAAATTACCTGCGGGGAGCTAAGAGCTCCAGTGCAGGTTCAAGCTTTTAAGGGGATGAGTGCTTCGGCTAGGATCCCTGCCTTCGAGGTTCAACTCAACTTGTCCTGTGAGAATGCCACGGTTCAGGTGGATATGATTGAGAGACGTGAGTCTGAACTCTCGAAGGTCAGGGCTGAGGTAATCGATACCCGGCGGAAGCGGCATCAAGCCGAACCAGGGCTGATCGAGAGATGGAGATTTGTACGAAGGATGTTGCTGACGTTCGATCCGAGTCGAGGCGAGCCCTTGACTACGAGGAGAGGATCGAAGAATATGTTCGCTGCTGAACTTGGAGAGAGGTATTCGAGGAAGCTGGATCAAGGGGCCTTGATTTTTCAGAGGAGTTGGCCTGAGCCAAGGTGGATGAAGGTGACGCTCGGTCACTCTTTGTGGACGCTGTAGAGGGCGATCTTTGACGAAATGCAGCCCTTTTGGCGAAAAATAGAGGTTCCGTCGTTTTGTAACCTTGTTTCTGGCGCGCGGGGTGTGCCTGTAGGTGGAGAATGTTTTTGCATGTAATATAAGAAGAATTTAAAGGCATTTGTTCCTTTTGTACCTTTTTTTTGTCGCTGCTCTCGATCGTGTAGATCAATTTTTGGAACTAGTCTCCGAGCTGCATCATGGCTCGAGCTTCACTAGGTCCTCCGGCTCCTGTCTGCCTTTACGGGCGGAAGGTGGTGACCCTTTGTGCTTCTAGGCCGAAGCGATTTTTGCGGGTGCGTGGCTCGAGGATTTGTCTTGACTGCCGATGGCATATTGATAGCGTCGCTTGGGTCGCCTCTTCAGGCGCATTCGCTGTTGAATTATTCTCGGGTTCCGTCTTCGGGTGTCTCAAGATACATCAGGCGAAGTGGATAAGCCGAAATAGCCTTCGACTAGGTGGCCCAAAGGTTGAAGGGTAACTATTTTGTGGCCTTCGCCGAGGAGTATCCCGATCAGGTCGATGCAGGGGGCTCCTTTTCTCGGGGGAATTGACCCGAGCCAGGAGGCTAATCGCGGAGCTTGGTTGTCGATTGCTGAGGCCGTAGAAGGCGCACCTCGACAAGCTGTATTCCTTTCGGCGCGGGGCGTAGACTTGACCGTTTTATTTTTGATATGGTCGCGGGGTTCCTGCAGATGGAGAGGGCGATCTTCGTGCATGATATATATATATATATATATATATATATATATATATATATATATNTATATATATACGAGAAAGGGTTTGGGGTTTTGTTTCTTTGATACCTTTATTGCTTTTGATCGGGCGGAGCAAAAGATAGTGGCTTACTTTATTTGTTGGGGCCGAGCTGGAGAGGGCCCTTGATCGCGTAGGCAGCAGCGGGGAATATGCAGATAGGGGGACTTTCGCGGAGATTCGTGCCAGAGGCTTTGATCCCTCGGAAGAGATTGGATGCGCCAAGGGAGCGGAGTTTGATGCCAAGTTCTTTATTTGTTGGGGCCGAGCTGGAGAGGGTCCTTGATCGCGTATATACATGTATAGATCCCACCATACATCGCGGGCCGAGACTGTGCCCTGTAATTCGTAATTTTTGTGTTTCGATTACCTTCAGGTTCAGTCTCCGAGTCGTGCTACGGCTCGAGCTCTGATTGGCCTTCCGGCTTTTTCTCGCCTGCATGGGAGGAGGGTGATGACCCTTTGTGTTTCTGGACTGAAGCGGTTTTGTGGGCGCGCGTCCCGGAGGTTTGTCTCGACCGTTGATAGCGTTGTTTGGGCCGTGCATTTAGGTGTTTTGTGATCGAATTGCCCTCGGGTTCAGTCTCCGAGTCGGAATCCTGACTCGGGCTTATCTTACCTTCGAGCCCGTTTGGGCTGGCGATAATGATTTTTATTCTCTACCTTTGGGCGTTTGGCGATTTTCCGGGTCCAGTCTCCGAGTCGCATTGCGATTTGAGCTGTAATTGACCCTTTGATCTTTCCGGAGGTTCCGTCTGGAGAAAGCGGCATCACTGTCACGCTCTAGGGAGTATTATGACTTTTGGGCCTAGTCTCCGAGTCGTGTTGTGACTCGAGCTGTAATCGACCCTTAAATCTCATCTGAGCTCTTGGCCAGTGATGGTGCCCTTTCTGCTACTTGGTCATTGAGACCTTTTAGTGCGAGGCCCGGAGGCTTGCTTAACCGGCGACAATGGCATTTATGTTGTTCGGTCGCAGGGACCTATTGATGTGAGGCCTGGAGGCTTTGCTTAGGTTAACTATTTTGGATCTGGTCTCCGAATCGGGTCACAATTCGAGCTCACTTTAATCCTCAAGTTATCAATTTTCAAGCTGGCGACAATGGCTCTTACGCTGTATGGTCGTAGAGACCTTTTGATGTGAGGCCTGGAGGCTTTTGTAGGCTTTGTTTCCTCTCGTTAAGGTCTTATTAATTATTTTGCCCGACCCGTCGTCGGTTCTAAAAGAACCTCGATTTCAAGTTGTAATCGGCGATGTTTTGAGCACCTCGGAAGATTCATAGCCCATAGGTCGAGTAGATCGACGCTTTTGCGATTTTGGAGTCGACGTGGTCGGGACTCTTTTTTTTGCCTGTTAAGGGAAGCCTGTGTTTAACCGGTTCTTTCCGAAGTAGATTCAGAGGATTTTTTAGCAACAGTCGGGCGTCCCCGAGTTGCGTTTTTTGGGCTATAGCAGCCGTTTCGACCGGAGTCGTGTGTGTTTGGCCGGGGCCATTTTTGATCCCGAGAAGCAGTTTTAGGCGACTACACCAAGGGTATGCCCTTTGGGGATTCTTACAAATGCGACGTATAGCCTAAACTGCGGGATTTTTCATGCATGTTGAGGTCTTACAGTTTGCTACGCCTGTTGAGGTCTTACAGTGTACGAAGAGTAGATCTGGTTTTGCCGAGGCTGCCCGTTAGGGTCTTACAGTTTCGGATTTTCCAGTGCGTGGAGATTGGTGGAAGTCTCCGAGTCATTGATTTTCTTGAAGACAACTTTTCATGAGCTCGGAGCTGTTCCTGGGGGCTCGATGAGCCCGGAGTTGTTTTTCGGGGCCTGGTGAGCCCGGCGTTTCGACCCTGGGGTCGTCCGGATGTCGGATTTCCTAAGTCTCCGAGTATTTCGGGACGTATTTCGTGGAGATGTCCCTATCGGGAGCGTGCTGTGATTTGTTTCTTTTTGGAGAGCAAGGCGTTGGAGATATACTCTGATCCATTGATGCGACATATGTGCTATCACACTGACTCGACCGGCTCTTAGGCCAAGTCGGGTTGTTTTGCTGATTTTCATGTTGCTTTGTTCTTGATTAGGAGCCTTTCTCTTTTCTCATAAGGGAAGGGGGTGATGTTCTATACGTCAATACCACACAAGAGGGGGGGTGATTTGTGTGGTACTCAATTTTTCGCTTAAACTGCTTCTGGAAGGACCTGGTTCTTCTAGGTGTACTTATTACTACTGTTTGCGGAATTAAAAGTACATAAAATAAAGAACACAGAGATTTTACGTGGAAAACACCTGGCTCAAAAGGTGAAAAAACCACAACCTACTACTCAGTAGGATTTTCCCAAACTTCCACTAAAATCACTGAGCCAAAACTGCATTTACAAAACTCTTTGTAAACCTGAGGATTAACTCTAATCCCGTTGTGGCAACCAGCCTCTAACTGCTGCGACAACTTCAAGTTAACTCTATCTTGAATACTCAAAATACCTATTACAATTGCTTCTATGAAAGCTGAAAGGTACAATATAAAACCACCTACTACAATTGAACTAGAAATAAAGAAAGACACATAAAACTCTCTATGGAGCTGGTTCTTCAATCGGGTTCATGTAGCTTCTGGTTTGCACACTTGAATCACACACGAACTGCTTGCAAAAAGCCTTGNGCAGGCCATTGATTTGGCAGCAGAAACTCAAGCTGAATCAGCTGCATGTTCAGATTATCGCCACGTGCACCACCTGTTTGATGAAAATCCACAGAGAGTTTCTCTGAACAATCACTTGCTTTTTGAGTACTCCAGGAACAGTTTCAATGAAGAGGCTCTGAATCTCTTTGTGGGTATTCATCGTACCGGACTTTTGATTGATGGGTCTAGCCTTTCTTGTATATTGAAGGTCTGTGCATGCCTCTCTGATCTAACTTTTGGTAAACAAGTGCATGCACTCTGTATAAGATCCGGATATTTTGACAATGTTAGTGTTGGGACTTCACTTGTTGACATGTACATGAAAATGGAGAACGTGGATGAAGGTCAGAGTGTGTTTGACGAAATGGAGGACAAGAATGTTGTGACTTGGACTTCTTTGCTTTCGGGTTATTCGTGCAATAAGCTGGTTGATAGAGCGTTACAAGTGTTTCATATGATGTTAGTTGGAGGAGTTAGTCCTAATGCGTTTACTTTTGCAACAGTTCTTGGAGTTTTGGCCGATAAATGTGCAGTTGAAAACGGAATTCAAGTGCATACTATGGTTATCAAGTGTGGTTTTGAGGTGATAACATCTGTGGGAAATTCTTTGATCAATATGTATTTGAAGTCTGGGATGGTTAGAGAGGCCACAGTTGTATTTGAAAGTATGGGAAATAGGAATGAAGTGTCTTGGAATGGCATGATTGCTGGTCTTGTGACTAATGGCCTTTATTCTGAAGCACTTAAGTTGTTCCACATGATGAGACTTTCAGGTGTTGAACTGACGCGATCAATCTATGTTACGGCTGTTAAATTATGTACTAACCTTAAAGAATTGGTTTTTGCACGACAGCTTCATGGCCGGGTTACTAAGAATGGGTTCTATTTAGACAATAATATTAGAACGGCACTCATGGTCTCATATACTAAGTGCGGGGAAATGGATGATGCCTTCAAGTTATTCTCTATGATGCATATATCCAGGAATGTGGTTTCTTGGACAGCAATGATTGGTGGGTATATGCAGAATAATAGACCAGAGCAAGCAGCGAATCTCTTTTGTCAAATGAAAAGGGATGGTATTAAACCAAATGATTTCACTTATTCAACTGTTCTTGCTGCTCAACCCTCTATTTCTTTGTTCCAAGTACACGCAGAAATTATCAAAACCAAGTACGAGGGTTCACCTACTGTAGGAACTGCATTATTAGACGCTTATGTGAAAACAGGGAATATTGGTGAGGCTGCAAAAGTTTTTGAAGAAATTGATGAGAAGGACATCATTGCTTGGTCTGCTATGTTATCTGGTTATGCGCAAAGAGGAGACATTCAAGGTGCTGTGAGAGTTTTCCGGCAATTATCCAAAAGTGGGGTTTGGCCAAATGAGTTTACCTTCTCCAGCATCATCAATGCATGCACTACCTCCATGGCATCAGTGGAACAAGGAAAACAATTTCATGCAAGCTCTATAAAATCAGGTCATAGTAATGCTTTCTGCGTGAGCAGTGCCCTGGTTACTATGTATGCTAAAAGAGGAAACATAGAAAGTGCAAATGAGATTTTCAAGAGACAGCAAGAAAGAGACCTAGTCTCATGGAACTCAATGATATCAGGATATGCACAACATGGTTATGGCAGAAAAGCACTAAAGATATTTGAGGAAATGCGAAAAAGGAATTTAGAAATGGATAATATAACATTCATTGGAGTTATTTCTGCCTGTACTCATGCAGGACTGCTGAATGAAGGTCAAAAGTATTTTGACATGATGGTAAACGACTTACATATTTCACCAACAATGGAGATCTACTCTTGCATGGTAGACTTGTATAGCCGAGCTGGTATGCTGGATAAAGCCATGGCTCTTATCAACGGAATGCCATTTCCTGCTGGTGCTATCGTATGGCGTACTCTTCTGGCAGCAAGCCGAGTTCACCGCAATGTAGAGCTTGGGAAACTTGCCGCAGATAATTTAATTTCCCTTCAGCCTGAGGACTCAGCTGCATATGTCCTCCTATCTAATCTCTATGCTGCAACTGGAAATTGGCAAGAAAGAGCAAAAGTAAGAAAACTAATGGATGTGAGAAAAGTTAAAAAGGAGATTGGTTATAGCTGGATTGAGGTTAAGAACAAGACCTACTCATTCATGGCGGGTGATGTTTCACATCCCTTATCTGATAGTATATACATGAAACTCGACGAGTTAAGCGTCCGGTTGAAGGATGCAGGGTATAAGCCGGATACGAATTATGTTCTTCATGATGTGGAAGATGAACATAAAGAAGCCATTCTTTCTCGGCACAGTGAAAGGTTAGCTATTGCTTTTGGATTAATTGCCACATCTCCGGGAATTCCTATCCACATTGTGAAGAATCTCAGAGTCTGTGGTGACTGTCACACTGTTATTAAGTTAATCTCAAAGATAGAAGGAAGGGAAATTGTTGTCAGGGATTCAAATAGATTCCATCACTTTAAAGGAGGTCTATGCTCGTGTGGTGATTATTGGTGAATTCAAGTTCCTTAGAAAGAACTAAGAGATATCAGCATATCTCTGTTGGTGTTTGTAGAAGCAAAGGTTCCATTAGCTAATGGAGCTTTAGCTGACAGGCCTATATAGGAAGTTGCATCAATTATCAGCTTCCAGATAGTGCTATCATAATAGTTGTAAAGTTCATGGATCCAACCTTTGATAGTGCATTGTCAAGAGGAAGAAACAGAGACTGTGCGAACTTCAGATATCTGGGGAAGTCATGAGGTTATATTTTACGGACTGAGGAGATAGCAAAGTTTTTATTTTGGCTGATCTTTCAAGAGCAGTCGACAGCCTGATCTGCCTTAGAGATAACAGTCAGAAGCATTCATTTGAATGGAGGGGTTTCCTCCAGCAGCTAAAAGAGCTGGTGCCTCTTGTCACTACCCCAGATTCAAAGTACGTCTGCTAGTATTCTGTTCAACGTGGTTTTTCTGGCCTTGATGCTCCTAAGGCTGTATTCTATAGAAAAGGTGATCTTGCAACAACGATGCAAAGATCAACTAGCTGCTCTTTCATTTCTACTCTTCTTTATGATTAAAGTTTTCATTGTAACCTACTGAGCATGCCAAATTCTGAAGGACCTGGAAATAATCGCGCCCAGGAAGGACCATTCAGCAACATCTTTTGACATGACTGAAACCATGGAGATCTCCCTGCTACCCATAATAACCTCTTCTAGAAGATCTATGTCCTCGACGCTGCTATTGATTAAGATACTGGCAACATGAAGCTTCGGAGTTAATTGCTAATGAGGAAGTAGCTAGAAAAGACGAGGGCAAAAAAATGGAATAGCAGTTGCCTAGCACATATGTGCTGGGATGCTGGTGCATATTCGCCAATCTTTTGATTCTGTTGACCTTTGTGCATGTATAAATCAGACTTGGAGAAGAGAGGTTGTGCATATGCACTGGCTTTTCGACTTGTATGCATCTGTGGTCAACCATGTTCTCTGGAAATTGTTAGGTTTCCTTGTTTGGTGAGGATTCTGGGGAGATCTGTAAGAGGAGGCTTGTAGTATGTCTAAATGCAATCTTGGATGAAGTTTTGAGGAGAGAACAAGGACTGACAAAGAATTCTTGACAAGACAAGGGTTTCAACCAGATATTCTTTTTCTTTCTACTTATTTCTTCCTAAATTCTTGATGTTCAGGAGTTCTACGATGATTTTCTTAAGTCCTATCTTGAGCTAAATTTTATTCTAGGTTATGATGGATCTTATTAGGCAGCTTGGACTGTTGTGGTTCCTATTAATTCAGAATGAGTCGTTTACTCAGTCATGTATTTCTTCTTCTAATTGACTGACCGATTCAGAGGAACTTTCAAATAGGAATTTGGACTTGAGACTTGGAATTGAATAGAGTATGATAATATTGATGGAATGATTAGATCAACATGATTTGAGACATAAATTACACTTATAATCCACATGCATTCAAATTATGGTTGAGTCTTCATGCATAATCCTAATAACCATAGTGATAATAAGCTATTAGTTAAGAAATGTTTAAAAGAATGTGCGTCCATTTATGTTAGACCCATTTGAAGATGAAGCTTGCACCAATCATGAGCTTAAGTACACTTGTATTTTACTTAGAGCCATCCCCTTGAAAACTTCAAAGGCAAGTAGGAGGTTATGAAATGACTACAAACATGACTTCACTTAGTACTTGTGGGTGCATGGACATTGTCTGCAGCTTCAATTGACAACAAGCAAAAGTTTAAACATCGACCGAAATGTTGCAGATGAGGAACCAATTCTCACTATTTTGTTCTTTGATGGCAAGTCTTTGATGCCAGGTAACATTAGGAAATTCTTTGATGTCTCACTGTAAACAGAGCAGCAGTACCTTTTCCTTTAATATATTCTCCAACCGGTAACACTCGGAAATTCTAGTTAAACTGTCACATAAATTAAGTTGATCACAAGAAAAGAGAGGTTACCAACTTTTTTACTATACATTGTCACCATCCAACCGGCAGGTTTGGCATTTCTGGAGAAACTACAACAGGAAAGAATGGGAGCAATTGCTGACAATTTGTGAATAAAAGTGATTGCAATTAGAATTGTAAAAGGCATACAACCAAAGATACTTGCAATGTTCTGTCTTGACATTAAATACATGCAAAGCTAAAACTAACACAAATCCTAAAAGGATAAAGAATGTCAACGTCCCGTTTGAAGAGCCTTTGATGAATATTGCAAATTTTTCATACAAGCAGCAGAAAATACAAATCATGGCAACTCCAGGTATAGCAGTTACCAGTGATACATCAATTTCTTCAACCTTCTTCTCCAAACTCCTTTGTGAATCTGTCATGCACTTCAAGGTCAGATTTACTAACTGTTGGTCTTTGACGTGCGAGAACCTTGTCAAAGTCTGTCTTTGTAATGGGTGGCGGGATTATCTGCAAAGGCATTAAACAGCAAGCTGTTTTAACTAGTCCATCCAGTTAGAAGGACAACTTATCCAAACCCATATCATGCTAAAATATCAGGTGATATCGGCTACCCTTTCTTTTGGGTAATCTAGCCATTCAGGACAGAAACTTAGGAAGATGTAGTTCAGTAACTGCACCATCTCTCTTGCATTTAGTTCCACATAAGTGTATGATGCGTAAACCTTATAAAAATAAACAGTAGAATCACATTTAATTACTGAATAACTTAAGGAAGTCAAGTTTCCAGGAATGTGCAACTATTAACCCCCAATATATCCAGCTAAAACCCATATATCCACAAGTTACAGTTTAGCGGCCAAGTGAAAAATTAATTATTGTAGTGATCTCAAACTATATATGTATCCAGAGTACCTGGGATGCAAGTCCTTTAGCAGCAAGCTCCTGCATAGTCGTCTGCACAGCACCCGGTTGCTTTGGTCCGCATGGCACCCAGGTATCATTACAAGTCTGAGTAAAGAACATAGCATCTTGAGTTTTTGGTACAGGTTCAAATAGCACGTCCTTGACCTGTCCAGGAAGAGCAAGTATACATACATTAGCAGAACATAGAGGAATTGCTCCCTTGTTTTCCTTCATCGTTTAGAAGGTTGGACTGGAGTTGAAGAAAGGATCTCTTCCCAAACTACAAACTGGCAAACAACATGTTGGGCGTAACACATAAAGTCAAACTCATTAGGCTCCAGACTTACGCAAACTGAAATATCTGAACCAGAAAACCCCTCTGTCTTACGGGCCAGGTCTTCAAAGTCACTCTTGCTCAAGTTATGGGGGGTATCACCTAAGTGAACCTGCAAGGTGTAACAAGAATAACCTAGAGATCTAACAAGAGAAATAGCAGTATGTATTTCCCTGAACTTCACTTCCCGAGAAAAATTACAGAACAGGATTTACTTTGAACATGTGTTTCAGATCTGGGAGAGGAATGTAGATACGCTTATCAAATCTTCGCCGTATAGCCTGTAGAGAAAAATATCTGTCAACAAAAGACTTCTATGATATGCTACTTTATACTGCAGATCATTCTATACCTGATCTAGGGCATAGGGTGTATTTGTTGCTGCAAGAACAAGAACTTTATCATCATTGTGTCCAACACCCTGAATATACAAATTGAATAAAGAAAAGGCGCATTTAGCCAGGGGGATTTCTCGTCCTCTCTTCTTTCTGATGGGAGAAGGGGTGGTTATGAGAGATCAAAGAATCACACCATAACCACGATATATCAATTACCTGCATCTGCACAAGGAGTTCTGTTTTAATACGTCGGGAAGCTTCACTCTCATTTCCTTCTCCTCGCTGTCCACACAGGGAATTGATTTCATCAACGAATATAATGGAAGGAGCACTTTCACGAGCCATTTGAAAAAGGTTTGAAACTAGCTTCTCACTTTCACCCATCCACTTGGATACAAGGTCTGATGATGAGACACTGCATGAAAATAGCAGTTGGCACTCGCCAACTTTCCAGTCTAAGTTCTTGAAAACGGGAAACTGAGAGAATCCTTAAAAAGAAGAGATACACGACAACATTCATGCAGGCAACTCATGTTTATATACATTCATCTAGATCGTTATATGCAAGTCTAAAAGAGAAATCCATAGTGCAGTTGGAAGATTTATTACCAGCGGAAACTGCAGATATTTCAGAGTACTTGCAAGTAGGGTCATTAAATAAATCAGGCATCTTGACATTGCCAGCATATTATGGCAGCAGAGAGCATCAAATTTTCAGGGAAGTAGTCATTATACATTGTATGAGTCAGAATCCGACCCCACGATAATTAACGAAGCTAATCCCGTCTTAAGCTAATTCATGATTAATTAGTGGCACGACCACTCAGAATTAACGATATTCAACCCGCATCTGATTCGATCAGCAAGGCCATGGCCTATACGCCACCATGAAGGCGAAATCCCAACGTGGTCACGACCACTTATTGCCAGCTCACGAAGCTCACAGCTATAAATACCAAGAGAGGAAACCCTGGAAAGGGGGGCTTCTTCTTGACCACCATTGAGAGAGAAAAAAGAGACAACGATACCGAAATTATGGGCAAGAGGAACACCATTGTAAGGCTCTGAACCTCTTCATGGAGAGGCAGACCAAACCAATATTATCAATAAAGGTTTCTAATGTTTCTCCCCCTAATCCTGAGTACTTATTTTTGTTTCCTTCACTTGGTCCAACGGATTATTACGGCTTGCTATGATTTTCCCGTGATTTATTTATATTGTTTTATACTCATAAGGTATCTAATAACTTTTGAGTCAAATAATCACGGGAAAATCATAGCAAATCGTAATAATCCGTTGGACCAAATGAAAGATACGAGAATAAGTGCTCAGAATTAAGGGGAGAAACATTCAAAATCTTTATTGATAATATTTGTTTGGTCTGCCTCTCCATGAAGAGGTTCAGAGCCTTACCATGGTGTTTTCACTTCCCATAAGATGGTATGTTTTTCTCTTCTCTCTCTCTCCTCAATAGTGGTCAAGAAGCAGCCCCCCTTTCTAGGGCTTCCACTCTTAGTATTTATAGATGTGAGCTTCGTGAGCTGGCAATAAATGGCCGTGGCCACGCTGAGGTTCCGTCCCCATGGGGAAATGAATGGGATGTGCCCTCGTAGATTAAATCGAACAAGAGTCGAATCCTCTTATGAATAAGTGGCCATACCACTTATTAATTATGGATTAGCTCAAGACGAAATTAACTCCGTTAATTACCGTGAGGTCAGATTCTGACCCATATATCTTCTATTACTATAACTTGTAGCGGGGTAATATGTATGTGAAAAGCTACCCGTTTTATTCTCCAATTTGTACTACATAAACAAAAGAATACCACAATGAAGTGGATATTTATTGATATAAAAACACATATCATAATAAACTTGAAGTTTATTCATAATTGCACACATCATGGTGTAAACCTGAAGTTTATCAATATTGATAATTTATTCAGTTGGCATAATTGGTTTACCCATATCAATTTAAGTATGATGTGCAAACATAAAAGAGAATTCACATGGGTAAATATTAAAGAACTAGAAAGTTCTTTACGAATTCTCTTACATTGCTTGTTCTCATTAATTAATAGACCAATTAAAATTGGGATTGAATCCCATGAATGCTGGAAATATCAAAGGTGAATATGGGCTCATTCACCTGCCATGTATACCACATAAGATGCATCTATGAGATGGTTACATGTGCGATTATTATTAACCCGCAACCTGGCCGATGTTTGCGAGGTAACTTGCTCACTAATTTAGTTTCGAGCATAATTTCCAGATTTTCTATTCAAGAAGTTCATCTTGATAAGTTGGTTTACATCACAGTTGGTTTAGCAAAATGATTTATTAAGTGCCTCTACTTAATAGCTAAACAAGTGCTTATGAGAACAAAGTTATCTATATCAGTTTGATATAGGTTATATACGAAAGTATATTACATTCTCCCCTCACAAGTGGTTCAGGGTCAGGAATCAAATAATTCCATCTTATTATAATTGATGTGCGGTATATATTTTGACTAACATCATAACGCACAAAGATGGGTTCTCAAAGTTGAGGAAACAAGTTAGTTTTTCTAACATGAGGGGGAGACATGATAAACAGTTGAGAAAAATTTACGTGGAATGAATTATCATTTGTACATCTAGATCCTCGAATAAAATAATATGAACTTGAAGTTCATAAAAGGATAATTCATGTGCAATTTATTGCAAAGCATGCCAGACGCATTTGCTGACCCAAAGAAAGTTACTATATTCTCATTGCAAATGCTCTTATTAAGTCCTAGAAGGACAACGTCTACGGTACGCTTAAAGCATATAGACAAATCGGTTTCAAATAAACTTCTTAATATAGAAGATGAGCAAATGATCATAATAAGGAGGCAAGTGATCTAGAAGATCACATGACATAACACTTCATAAAATCTCAGGAGAGATTCAGGTACCTGAAAATATGAATGAAGAGATCTCTATGTCATGTCTTTATGAAAAATAAGGAGGTTGGAACCGATATAAAATGTTTGTCGACGACATCTATGATAGCGCTAAATATATATATGAGGATCTTAAGTCTGAAGAAATAATTCGAATAGAATTGGTTTCATATGAAAGACATGTAGTTTTGAACATGTATTTCAAAAACACTTGAAAGTATAAAGTCAATGGTATGTGCAATCAGTTTTCGATATCTTATATGTCTAGCATGACATGAAAACTTGATATGCATCTAAAGTCTATTATATGGCTTATATGACTTAACAATCCCTGAAGGATTTAAATTGCTTAAAGCATATAAAATTCATGGTCACGAAGTACCACTTCCTTAGTGCAATTTGTGCACAAATGTATCTTGCTATAACTATATGCATGATAATATGATAGCAAGAGTTTTCACCCCTATGTGAAGATATTGAAATGATGATTCCAACAAGATCATATGAAGACAATACATCTATCAGGGATGATGATTTCAAGGTGAAACAAATTCGTTGAAGTTAATATGGCTGATATTGTTTATCAAATATCTACAAAAGATCTTTTGAAGATCACTACAAGAAAATGGCAAAATTGTGACGGACGGTTCTGTCACAATTCCGTCACAAATTTGTGTTAGTGACGGAATTGTAACAAAATGGGGACGTCCCAGAACCTTTGGTCGTAAATTTTTTTTGACGGATCAAATTTCGGTCACAATTTTTGTGACAGATTTATGACAAAATTGTCCGTCGCAATATAGAGGCCTGCATATAGCTTGATTCCGTTACAAAATAGAGACGGATTTGTGACAGATATATCCGTGACAATTATTGTGACAGAATAGTTTTCGAGACAAATTTATTTATATATTCACAGCAATTGTGACAGAATATTTTGTCACAAATAAATTGTGACAAAATTTTCTGTCACAAATTGACACATTTGGCAGCTATATTAGTGACAGATTTGGGATACATAATATTTGTGACACATAAGTTCCCATCACTATTTAAGAATTTGGTGAATATTTTTGACCATGTAGATCTGTCACAAATTTAATTTTGGACTTTCAGCTTTAACAAATAATTAATAATACTTATGAAAAAATTAGCTAAAAGCATAAAGACAACAACAACCAACCATAACAAACATAATATGAAATATATAATAAAACATACGAAGTTAAAACATGCCAAAATATAAGTTCTACTAGCAAAAGTCTAAATATATTAAAAATTACAAATCCAATAATCAAAAGCTTGCCAACGTTAAAATAGCACTTAGAGAGTATCCAAGTAGCTAAAGTCTAACAATGTTAAATACTAAAGCATTTGGTTAGTCCCTGTTAAAGGGAGTAGGAACACCAGATGGGTGAGATGATAATGCCATCTCGCTCATCCTGCGCATCCATCGCTCCTCCATAGACCGAAATCGATCATCCTTCTGTTGATTCAAACGCGAGACCTCTTGGTCTACGCGTTGTTGCACCTCTGCCTCCACGCGCTCTTGAAGAATCCTCTCTTGTGTTTCTCTCATACGCAACACCTCCTCCTCAAGCACTTTGATGCGCTCTTCAGCAGCGGGATCTGGTACTACAGGCAAATGGCGTGAAGTGGCAGAATTGTAGCCTTGATACAAAGTCGCAGCTTGAGAGCCCAATCCATACACACGTCTTTTCTTCTCTCCGCCGACAACATACAAGTATAGGCGATTTATATCGGCATTTTGAACTTCTTGTGAATCATCGGATAAGCTCGAAATAGCAGCAGCCATCGCAACTTCCATTTTATCCTACATACATTTATCAAAATAAGAAACTAATGAGAAGTAATATACAAAGATTTCCTATAATTAAGTTTTACAGCTCACTCACGTAAGCAACTAAAGAAGCAATGTTCATTATATGTAGTTTAAAACTTGAATCACAGATGCAAAGAAGCAAATCTCTAAAACTCATAAAAATAATTGTCATATATTAACTTGTCATAGACTCATAGGATATCATTTTCAAGATTAGAATAAAAAAACTAGACCAGAATAGAATGCTATCACAAGCTTTCAACTGATATTCTTCTTAAGTAAAAATAAACTTATACTTAGTGACTCATAATCTGATTCTTTGAAGCACAATAAGAAATAGAATAAGTCACAATATGTGTTTCATTTCTGCATCAGAACAAGAAATGAAATGCTAATTAAACAAGAAATGAGATGATGTGAAGAAGCTTTCAGATAAGTGGATTGCACCAGTAATATTCCTCATATTCATTCTCAAATAAAATGATGAAATATTATAAAAGAAACTTACACCAACAGTCTTAGACTTGGTATCCACAAAGTTCCCATCCTTTCTTTTATGCAGCTTCTTAAATATATCCCATGAATTTGCTGGACGATGTAATTCTATTGCCTGAATAATAGAGTACAATATTAAAATAGGAGATAAGGTCATATAATTACTCTATTGAAAGGTTAAATTCAATACCAATTTTATAGTATGCTCCACTGTAGACCTAGAACAACCGGTATGCTTGCTTGGACCAGTGCCTGGACCACCAGTCTTGCTACACCGATTTTGAATGGCGACACGAGATTTTTCAAGCCACTTTTCCGATGACCAGTGTGCCTGCCAGCTTTCCCATATATGCTCTTTAATAAAAGTAGGTCTGGTTGTAAATTTCTACCACTTGTGCCGCTTTTTAGTGTACAAGGTAGATGCCACTTTTTTCCAAGTATGTTTGATTATGGCATCCTCAGTAGAACTCCAATGATATAATTTCTAACAAAAGATATTTGGTCAGTGACATAAATACATATATATACTAAATAATTACTTATAATTTTTTTTTTATGGAAAGCGATATTTACCATAAATTCATGCCAATAGAAGTCACGAGTGTATTGGCAGACAACCTTCCATGTGTAACCAGTAGCATCTTGTCGCTCCATGAAGGTATCAGTGATGGTCTTCGAGATAGAATGACCATTAGGAACGAACCCGAACCTGAACCGGTGTTACAAGGACATCTTAGCTTTTCACAATCCATGCATTCTGGATGTCTTTTAGCAAATGCAACAAACTCCTCAACCCCAATAATAAATCTAGGATTTATGAATCCATCTTCCAATACTCTAGCATACATCCGCTCACGATCAGAATTATTCATATTGTACACTTTAACACAAAGAATAAACATGTGTTAGAACTTACATGATGACAAACAAGATTATTTGTTGTAATTAAAGTTGTCTATTATCTAGCTATTTTTTAAAAAGTAAATTTAATCTATTAGAATATATTTGTACTAAAGCAGACATGTCAAGCTTGCATTCTGCTATAGAATCCAACAGAAAATGGCACTAATTTAACAAGATTTAGTTATAACTAGAAAAGTCACAAGTTTCCTACCTAACTGTATCAACATCAATTAAAGTCCCAAGGAAAAAACATATGTAATGCCAAATATTGAAATAGAAATTATCATTCACTAGATAAATCAGAAAAATATCTATAACTGCGTACTTCTTGGAACTATTAATTTCTTTTTTAATCTTTCTGCTAGGGAGGTGCTTGACTCCTTGCCTATATGTTGAAGAAACTGATCCAAAAAAGAGAATGAAACAGAAAAATATAAATGACCATAGTTTAAGACATTTAGACAAGATAAATAAGATAATTAATATTGTTGAAGAGTTTACTTTATGAGATTCCAGCAATAAAATAATATAAATCAATTTAGAGTCAGGAAGCAACATATATAGCAGGTATATAACCAAAAACAACCAAAAAGAAGGTATAATAACACAAGTTATAGCAAATTGAAAATCACCACCACTCCTAAAGAATTTTTGAAACACTCAAATGCACTCAATATGAGGCTTATCCTACGCACCCGGCCCCTTTCGACAACTAAGAGTAATTTTGAGTTCCTAACCATTGCGACAGTAACTCTACCATGAATGTTATATCCTATGAGGAGGTTGATGAATTGTCTATGAACTACAATGATGAATTAGCTCAAATAGGGGTGAGTCTTGTTTTAACAACAAGGATCATATTCATCTTAGTAACCAGAAAATTATTACCTAAAAAATATCAGAAATTTATTAAGCATATAGAAAAACTTTTCAAAACCTGGAAAACAAAATCATGCACATTCTTCATTTTTTTACTTTTTTCCAAGACAACAAAGTTGATATCTACAATAAGCACAATTGTTTCCTTTAGCAAAATTAGAGCTTTTTCCTTTGCTCAAAATTAAGACCAAATCATAAACAAGAAACTAAAATCTCACCTATCTCAAAAGTATTTCAAACCCACTTCAAGTGAATGACCCAATATCAAAGCTTAATAAAGACCCTTTAAAAATTGTACCTAAAATAGTTGCATGCAAAAGCTTTTTAGCTAAATCGGAGTTTTCTGAGCTTAGATAGAAGAACCCAACAGCAATACCCAAATGTTATTCACTTTGGAAAATAATATTCAAGAAAAACATAGAAAAATCTGAACAAAAATTGAAAGATCCAAAAGCTATTGAGTGTGGAGGAAGAGACTGGAGCAAAACCAAACCTGCAAGTGTTGCTGTGGCGTTGAGTCTAGAATGGTACAAGAATCGCCATTTGTGTTTTGTGTTGAGAGAGAGAGAGAAGCAGGGAGGAGTGAAATGAGAAAATGGGTCTAAGTCTTAGGAGTTTTGTGGAATGAGAGGTTTGGCGGAGGAAAACTAATAAGTGGGCCAAATATTTGGCGGGGGAAACTAAAAAGTGGGCCAAATATTTTGGAAAAAATTTGTAAGTTGTCCAAATGTTTCTAAATTTGTGACTGAATGTTCCGTCAAAAATTATTGTCACGGAAAATAAATCTGTCACAAAATTATTTCTATTAGATAATTTCTCTTTTATAATATTGTGACGGAAAATATAATCTGTCACAAAATTTGTGACGGATTTTTGACAAAGTATTGTCATTTCTTCTCTTCTGCCATAATTTTGTGACAAAAATATGTTCGTCACAAAGACTAAATTTCATATCTGTCACAAATTTGTCACAAATCCGTTACTCTTAGAATTTTTTTAGGAAAAAATAAAATCTTTTGATAATTTCGTCCATGTAAGGTTGATTGTCATAAATGCGTCACAATCCGTCACAGTTTGTGACAGAATGCTTCGTCTCAAATATTCCGTCACAATTTTACAATTTTCTTGTAGTGGATGGTGCACAAGATTGGGATGCGAAAGCTCAAGGATGTGAATTGATGCTCTCATCAGGGGGAGTTAATGCGTGTTGCACTCTTTTTCCCTTACAAGGTTTTGTCCCACTGGGTTTTCCTTGCAAGGTTTTTAACGAGGCAACCAATAGGCGCATTTCTAAACATGTGTACTCTTTTTCCTTTTCTAGTCTCATTTGTTATGGCTAGGCCCTTTTATGGCGGATATTGGTGCGCAGACCCCTTTCTTCTATATTTTTCGAGAAAGAGAATTGATATATGACCTCTTCGAAGCTGCCACCGGTATGCGAGATTTGGAGCAAAATTGGATAAAACGCGAAAGAAAAATAAAGGAAATTGAAAAAAAGGAGGGGGTGGGGGGGGGGGGGGACGGTACAACCTTTGATTTTGTCCCCTCAAGTGGAGACAAACAAAACAAGAAAGATATAGAATGCAATTGCATTCTAAATGCAATGGATGAAAATTAACGTGAAGGAATTGAACGAAAGCTCACTGCCTCCAGCGCCACGGTCGCGCTGGCCTGGACGCTGTATTGCGTGGGTTTTCCTATTTCGTCCGGAATAAGGTTATTTCGGCCATACACGGTCCAAATTCGTATTTTCTTTTAGTTAAGATTTTAACGAGGCACATTATCTGTTGAATAGACATTCACGGGGAGTGTTATAAATAGAATCCTATTTATGGTGACTGTCCATATTTAGAGAGATTCTAGGGTTTATTACTTGGTGGCTAAGTCACCACCTACCTATAAATAGAGGGTTCTATTCCATTATAATTCATCCCAAAAATTCAATAAGAATTTCCTCTCTCTCTTTCTCTGCAATATTGTTCTTCTTCTTTTATTATTTCATAACAATCTTTATATACTATACAACTGAGACTTGTAACCTAGAAAATAAGGCAAGTAACCTAATACAACTTGTTAAAATATACCGATAGTATAAACTTCTTTTCAAACTATTAGAGAAAATAAGTCAGAATCCTAAACAATATTGTTGAATTTGATTGTTATATAATAAGTGAATGTTCCATTAATTGTTATTTTCTCGACCTAGTAGGGAATTGCTCAAGGGTGCATTTCGGGCGTAGGCTCCTTGGCCAACATTCTCTCTCCATTTATATTTAGTCCTTTGACAGGTAACTAATTAATTTGTTATTCAATTTATGTGTTTAATTTGACCTAAATTTTCAAACTAACAATGTTCATCTCTTTATAGATCTTTTCTTATCTGAGAGAGCTCCATTTAATTATTCTGGTTTTAGTATGTTTTACATCGGCCTTGCTTGGGTAAGCACTATACGTATTAGATTAATATACGTTTAACCTTTTAATTTCTTGTTCATTCTTTTCTTTTTTCCTTAGTTGTTTTGAAAGTATATTTTTTTATATATTATCAGTACGCAAAAGTTAAATACTTACGTTACTAATTGCGCAACCTTAATAATAATTTCCTCCAATGTTTTGTGCAGTTGATAGCATTTATTCCTAGCATGATGATAAGGTTTGGTTCCTACAATTAAAGACTCAAAATTAGGAGGGTTGAAGGAGAATTCAAAAAGCTATATTTGTAAATCTGAAAGATTCTATGTACACAATCTTCAAATGGTTAAAAATGGAGAAGTTTATCTATTTATTTATTTATTATTATTTTTTTGTATTTTTTGTCTTTCCTGAGGCAATGAATATATTTGATGTATTTGGTAGGACGGATTCAGTTTCTCATCCAATTCTTTTGTAGTATCAAAATGACATGTACTTGATAAACTTGTGACACCTTAATATTCTTTGCTACTTATATTTGAAAGTGGACGTAGAAGTAGGGGCGTACAAAGAAAATCGATAAACCGCGCCAAATCGGTAATTCGAGTCAAATCGGAAAAAAAAACTCGATCATGGGTTGGTTTGACTTGGTTTGGTGTTGGAAAAAATAACCCGACCATAATTGGTTTGGTTTGGTTTTAACTAAAAAAAGTCAAACCGAACCAAACCAACCCGATATTACATTTATTCAATTTTTACAAATATTTTATACCTATATAAATATTTAGTTTTAATACAATTCATAAATATTTCTTAAACTTTTTCACAGTTTTATCTCTAAACATATTGTTTCAAGTTTGAAATTAACATTCTTGAATGGTCCAATAAATTTTATAGTTCATAAAGGTAGTAATTCAAATAAACTTCACATCAATACTAATGCTAACTAAGAAAATTCAATTCAACACTAGAAATGACAATAGTGTGGATATCTATTTTTTAGTTTTGCATTGTTTATATTGAAAATGCATAACTTAGTTTATCTTTTTCTTTAGTGCTTAGTTGTGTAACTAATATACTTATAGTTGTACTTATTTAAGCATGACTTATATAGTACTTTTAGATTATGTTAATATTTATTATGGCTTATTACTTAGTAATATTTTCTTTATGGATTTTAGTATTTTTGTTATTGAGTATTTTAGTATAATGTTATGACGCATCTCATATTATTGTATTATTTTCTTGAAAAATATATTATATAGTTGTATCCTTGTAGGATTAGAGAAGTATGTGAGCACAAGTTATATATTTGTGCTATGAAGACTTATCGAAAAAAAACAACTCGAAAATTCGAAAAAACCCGAAAAACCCGAGATTGAAAAACCCGATTTCGTTGGTTTGGTTTGGTTTATAGATTTAAAAATCCGACACTATTGGTTTGGTTTGGTAATTGAAAAATCCGAACTAACCCGGCCTATGTACACCCCTACGTAGAAGGATGATATTGTTCTTAAAATAAAATAATTCTGGAGAAGAAAAATAATGCAAAACCAGATGTAGAAGAAACAAAAATTAATTTGAGCCACTGAATTTACAATATTTCTTTAAGGAACTTAATCCCCTCCTAATATCCGAGGTTGTGGATTATTTCCTCCCAGGATAGAACGGATTACAC